GGGGCGAGCGCGGGGCTGGCCCCAAGCCCCGGAGCTCGGCCTGCGCAGTGACCTGGGCAGGAGAGGCAGAATAGTTGAGAGAGCCACAGAGGTCTCCGGAAGGGAAGGAAAAATGCCCACCCTCTCTGCTTTGTCCTGGCATTCATTAGTGAGCATGCTAACGAGCGAATGTTCTGTAGTTGCGGATGCGTGTGAACAGTTAGATTATTGTGGGAGTCGTGTGAACGTGTGCAGGCTTCCGTGAGCTCGGGAAACAAACACGCTTTCAAGCCCAGGCGCTTCCTCCTCCACCCACCTGCATCCTTTCCCCCTATCAGTGGCAGGATTCAACTCGACTTTGGACCCGTTGGGCCTAAAGATATATCGAATAGTAATGATTGCAAGACTGCATTTACCTAGTATTTGTTGAGTACCTTTAGTGCGATAAACTGATAAACTCGTCCGTCTATAAAGATGCTGAATACTGAAAACATAGCACCTGGTAGCTTCCCCATCCGCCTTGCGGAGTTCAGGTTTACTTGCAAACCAGTGAGGGAGGTGAGACTATGTCAGAATCAAGTATTGGGCCTGGTTTTCGGTTTTGTTTCCCTAGGACTAGAAAAGAGACCGACAAAACACAGGGGCTGGTATTCTTAACCTGGGGTTACCCAGGTGTCCACGGACACAACTCGAGCAGACTGTGAACTTGGCTGGCAACTTTTTTTACTAATGTTGAACTGAAATGTAGCATTTCCTTGAAGAGGTATGCAGGCAACAAGCCACAGCAGTAGTAGAAAGACCAGTAGGGCTCTGAGGAGTCCCCTCGGGTAGCACATACTTTTAAGTGCTGGACTACTAGCCCCAATGTAATGATGTATGTCTGACATAAGGAATGCTCAGGTCCAAGGTGAGAGTAATGCTGGCTGTGCTGGTTAAGGTACGTGGCAACTTGACTGTGCTGTGGTTCTCAGTAATTTGTAAGTTATATAATGATATCATTCGGCAGTTGTGTAATGATGTAGTGGAAGAAAGATGCTGTTTTCTACACCTGCAAAGAATTAGTCTCAAAAACTCACAGGAGCAGTTCTGCCTAGTCCTGTAGTCTGTGTGACTCGGCCTCGTCTCGATGGCAGTGAGTTTGGTTTTGGTAATGATGTGAGCTTTGGTGTTCATCGTCCATTTCTTCACGACCTGGTTGTTGGAAATGAATTATGTCACTGTGTACATAAGGAGTGGCTGTCTCAATATCTGACTGCCTTTGTAAACTTGCATTTCTCATTTATGACATATTTGAGTTATGACACACCACAGGGCTGCCCTTTTTTTGTTGATTTTGGGTTTTTTGGAGGGTTTATCTTATAGTTAGTAATATCTGCTTATGTACTATATATAATACTGTAGCATATAATTTGCTGATGTTATCATTCTTATGGCAACCCCTAAAGACTAGTAAAGATCTGATTGATAAAGATACCATAATAGATGGCATTAATAATGAACACTATTTTTTTAACATGAGATATTCAACTTCCATTAGAACTGACTTAGATGATGGAGACATTGTATTGAAATCTCATCATAAATTGGGGACTACTTGTATTTCATTATAGAAATTTAAAAATGTTTCTCTCAGAAAAGATCCTAAGCTTCATTATACCACCTGAGGTAGTTTATCATGCCAACCTGGCCAATAAACACATGTGAGGTTAATTGAAGGGTGGAGAGATAAATGGCTCGGTGAGCCTCGTCTTTTTAGTTCTCGGGTCTCTTGCTTTGTGATGGTCGTACCAGGGTGCAGCTGCCTTAGCAGTTCCCAGCTTCAGCTTGCAAGGCTCACTTCCTGTAAGACATCCCCAAGGAGATGCCACCTGGACCTACCCCGATGCAGCGTTGGGTGCTGGAGCAGCCGGGCGGAGACCCTGCCAGCGCTGAGATGCTTACATGTTCACTGATTCGGCTTTCCTCCTGCAGTAGGCATCACGGTGTGTGATTTGTGAGATGGAGGGGGATTTTGTGGATTGTTGTTGGACATATGTGTTAATGTTGGACTTGGGGGTTTGGGCAGCACTGGGTTGGGATGTTTTCTTGATGTGCACTTAATCTTTATATAAAACTCTCTCTTATACATGAGTTTCTGTGGATTTGTTTCTCTAAAGTACCCAGACTAACACACCACCCAAATAGTCATTAAAAAAAAAAGGCAGAGTTGTAACAATTGTGCTCTGGGTTTCTTTCAGAAAAAAAATCTGCATTCTAGAAATGTAGGTGGGTAAGCATAGTTTCTGGCACTTCCTCTTAGGTGAACAGTAGTTTTCCTAGAAGAACCAGTTTAACCAATCAAGTCATTATACATTTGTGTGGCATTCTGGTTTTAGGGGTGTTGAGCAGGAGACCTACCCCTAAACTTTCCTTTAATGGAGCCAGCACTTCCTCCTGCTGACTACCGACTTCCTAAACTTAGATTACTGTGGTTTCCTGTCTCAGGTTTGATACCAAAAGAATGAGAAAGATGGCCTTAATGTTCTCATCTAGAAAATGAGGGGGGAACAGAGACTAAATGGGGTAATCTATACCGGAGATTACAGGGTGAGGGTGGGGGATCATGGAAACCTAGAATTAAATGATAATGGAATTTTCCACAAACCTTTTGAAGCCCCCTTGTCGATGTACATCAGTTAGCACAACACTATCTGTGGTGTGTGAGAAAGGAAAGAGGCCCGAACCTATCAGCCCTGCTTAGTCAGGAAGTACAGACGGCGTGGCCTCTCCCCGTCATCTGGCTGGGAGAGGCAAGAAAAGAAAGGGGTCTAGAGCCAAGAGGCAGACCCAGGCCTTCACAGATACTTGTCGGCTTCTAAGCATTAATGAGGCATTAATGAGACATCTGTGTTTATTAATTGTGGGCCAATTTTTAATGCAAAGTCTCTAATTATTAATCATGAAATAGAAATACTTGCTTATTTCCACCTTTTTTAGAAATTATAACTGAGCAGTCCTCATTGACTCTTAAGAAGATTAAATGTGTCTTCCCTGGGTTTGTTGAATGAAATCCAACTCATTGAAGGTTTTCTACTTTTGATTTTTGTTCTAGAAAAGAGATCCCATTATCTGGCAACCTTGGAAGAAACTCAGACCAGGCGAATGATCATACATTGACCTTTGAGGATTAAGACTAACCTGAAATTTAAAATGTTTCTCAGGGAAGAACAAAGCCTGATTTTCCTAATAATGTGTTTCCTGACACTAAGGCTGTCTGCCAGTCAGTATTGCCCAGTGAAGAGTCTGGAAGATGTTGTCATCGACATCCAGTCCTCTCTTTCTAAGGGAATCAGAGGCAATGAGCCCATCCACACACTGACTCAAGAAGACTGTGTTAATTCATGCTGTTCAACAAAAAACATATCAGGTAAGTAACCGTCTTGTGGCACCTGTTCTTTCCATTTGTTGAGTGACATAAATAGCTGGCAGATGTCACTGAATAGTTTATCCTCAATAGAGTGGGCGCAATCCCTGAGGATCCTTATCCATAGTGGGGCCCCTGGTCACCAGTGGTGGGGCGCCCACCTCTTCATGAAGAAGACCTGGGTTTGATTCCTGGCTGGTGTACCTCATGAACAGCTGCCTCCTGTCGACCGCTGGAGGGTTGTATGTTGCTATTGATGCTGAGCAAATTTCAGATAGACTAGGAAGAAAGGCCTGGAGATCTGGCAGTAAAACCCTCAGGATCACGATAGTCTGATCCACAACAGATCATGGATGTGATGCAGAGTCTGATGTCATTTCATTCCATTAGACAAGGCATCACCATGAGTTGGGGATGGCAGCTCCCAACAACAAAACCACCTTATCCACTTGTGCGCCCTCCTTCCCCTAAGCTGAAAATCATTACTGATGGTGTGTGTGTGTGTGTGTGTGTGTGTCCCTCCGGTGAGTAAGTAGAAGAAGGTTGAGAACCACTGGTGTTATGTTCTAGGAGGCATCTCTTGTTATCAGGTACCACCAAGTCAGTTTTGACTTGTAGTGACCTAATGTACAATAGAACAAAACACTGTCCGGCCCTGTACCATCTTGCGATTGTTGGGTTTGAAGCTAGTGCTGCAGCCACTGTGTCGATCCATCCCGTGAGGGTCTTCCTCTTTTTCACTGACCACCTGCTTTACCAAGCACGGTGGCCCTTTCCAGGAACTGGTCTCTTCTGATAACCTGCCCAAAATGTAGAGGTGAGGGCTCGCCACCCTGGCTTCCCCAGAGCATTCCGGCTGTGCTTCTTCCCAGACCGATGTGTCCATTGTTCGGGCAGTCTGTGGTACTTTCATTGCTCTCCCCAGCCCCGCAGTTCAGATGCACCAGTTCTTCTCTGGCCTTCCTCATTACACGAGGCCCTGGAAAATACCATGGCTCGGGTCAGGCGCTCCTTAGTCCTCCAAGGGACATCTTTGTTGTTCAAAGATTGTTGTTGTTACATCACTGGTTACGCTGAACAAATAAAGCTTTCTGTAGTGGCTTCATTTATCAGAAAATAAGAGTTGATACAATGGTATATGATTCCCTCTGCATTAGAGAATAAATTGCAAATTTTGTAAGATTCTCTGAGTGAAAAAATCTTAGCGCGGTCCTCAGGACCTCCCCACCCAGCTATGAAAACTAGACCATATTGGTATTTTTAATAAGCCAAGCAAGGCTTAGTTCCATGGGCACTTATTCCTTTTAGATAGCCATTCCTTGACAGGAAGCTGAAATTCCAGTGTTCTATTGACTAAAAGCAATGGAATGTCTTAAGACCTTGCTGGTGATGGTTAGAGATGTTACTGTGTAGGACCCACCTGCTGCCATAAATGGGTGAACAAACTTGTCACCCCAACTACTGACCTGCGTGTGTGTTGTTTGACCCCAACGCCTCTTTACGTGGCTAGTCAGTCTTCTCTGTGTTTGGGTCACTCTGGTTCAGTTGAAGCCAGGAAAAATAACTTCGTAGTAACCAGAATGCTAATCCAATGATATATTGTTTACTTTATTGTAAATACTGGGGAACAGTGGTCAATAAACAGTGCTATAGTGTTTTTTTAAAAAGGTAGAAAATGTTCTAAAATTGTGATGATTGCACAACTTTGCATGTGTTTAAATGATTGAATTATATGATATGTTATTATGTCGATAAAACATAGGCACAGACACACACAAATGGGGGGACCCTGATGCCATGGGAAGATGACCCAGGAGGCTGAGTTACAAAAACTGAAAAGGGGCAAAAATCTCTGCCCTGGCAAACAGAGAGTGACCCTCTCCTTATCATCAGTGCCCTGAATTCCGACTTCTACCCTCTCCGGTGAGAAAATAAGCTGCTGTTCGTGAAAACCCCACATAAAATAAAACCCTTCTTCTGTCTTACTCCTCATGGGAAGGCAGAGTGAGGGAGCTAGAAGGGGTTGGTGGCTGGCAGGGCCTATGTATTGAATAATTAATCTTATTTTGAGGCAAATTACACATGAGTTGTATGGGTTTTGCAATCCCCTCATGCTCATTTCCTGGGCACCCACATTTTATATGCATGCACAGTCTTTACATGGGTGCGTGACATGCAAAAACCAGAGTAGCCTATATTCTCCCAGAGCACGGACGTTTGGATCGCTATTTTAGTTCAGGGGTCGCAGGCCAAGATGTACAACCTTTGTGCCAAATGAAGGCCAAAGTCAACTCTAAGCTATGGTGAATAGGGAGAATCATCTCCACTAGATGGAAAAGAAAAGCCAAAAATAAAGTTGCAATGAAAACGAAGGCAGAGAAACCGGAGAGCAACAATGGCAAGGAGGGGTGGGAGTGGGGACCGGGCAGGAAGGATCCAAAGAACAGCCCAGATACAGAGGAAACGACGAACTTGGTATTCCATTCACAGATCAGATCCTTTACTACGGCCCCACTCCACAACTCTAGTTAATTAAGGCTTTATCAGTGTTTGAAATACTTCAGGATAAAGCGATCAGCGACATCATGAGTGTTAAATCCACTGTTTAGGGTCTAACTTGACGTCACCTAAAGGAGGCAAAGTCATCACCTCTGTGTTCATTTTGAGGGCTTTAAAAAACTGCTTTTTCCGATGACTCCTTTCTGTTAGATTTAAAAACTCAGTGTCTTTTAAAATTGTGATTCGGGAAAGCAAAGGGAAATGATTCAGCAGTCAGCAAGCAAGTGGACAAAGAAAGGCACTTGTGCTGGACCCCAGACTAAATTAAGGTCTTCCCTTCTCGCCGTGCCCGTCAGAAAACACTATTTCGAAATAATGGGCTTGCAAACCTCTCTTTGCAGGAAACAAAGCATGTAACCTGGTGATCTTCGACACTCGCAAAACAATTAGACAACCCAACTGCTACCTGTTTTTCTGTCCCAGCGAGGAAGCCTGCCCCCTGAAACCGGCAAAAGGACTCATGAGTTACAGGGTAATCAGAGGTAATAAAAATGTTACTCTTTTTCCTTTGTGATTGGAATTATTCAGGAGACAATTCAGCTGAAAGACTTGCTACAAGTCCAAACAGTACAACCAAAAAGGGTCATAAATCTGGAGGCATGCCAGAAAATACATTTAAAAATACAATTTATTAAGCCAATCCCCCCCTCCCCGCCAAATGGTAGCATATTTTTTTTCTGTTTTGATTTTGTGTTTGCCTAGAGGGGCACCCAGACTTTTCATGGAAACATTTTTGAACAACTCTTTAGGATAATGTTGGCAACCGTGGATAAGTGCATAGGTCTCCAGGATGATTTTGACAGGAGTAAGACCCATGCAAATCTATAAAAATCCAGTAGATTTCATATTAAATTACAATTATTTTATGACCATATTTGAAATCAAACTCATTGGATGATATTGTCTAGGCCTGAACGGACATATATCCATCCAATACTTACTGATCACCAGCCATGTGCTGGATTCACTGCCAGGCATGACAGTGTAGTCTCCTTGCTTATGTATGTATGCACACACACACCCACACTTATGTAAACAACACACATGTATATGTACATGTGTAAGTGTGTGTATATATATATATATACATATATATACCTATATATGATTTGGAAATGTCTCAGTGAAATTTGAACTTGTTAATTTTTTTATAGAATGAGATGAAATGCATTCAGTGTCAAAATTCCTTTTTGTGTTTTTAGAAAGTCTCTGTCATTATACTCTTGTTAAATTATTCTGTTGGTTCACTTACTCAACACAATAACAAGTATTGTTTACCATCTACAATATACTTGTAATAAGGAGCCCCAGTAGTAGTGTGGGTTAGGCATTGTACTGCTAACCACAAGGTTGATGGTTCAAACCAGTTGTTCCCAGGGAGAAAAATGAGGCTGTATTCACAGCCTTGGAAACTCTTTGTTAACAGCAGTTAAGCACTTTGCTGTTAAAGGAAAGGTTTGAACTTGCTAGAGGCTCTATGGGGAACAAAAGACCTAGCAGTCTGCTCCCATAAAGATTACAGACTAGGAAATCCTATTATGGGGCAGTTTCCGGTTTGGAAGGGTCACTATGAGCCTGAATAGAGTCTGGCTTTACCTTAAGACTGCGATCCTTTAGTATAATTCCTCATGTTGTGGTGACCTCCAAACATAATTTTTTTTTTTTTTCTTTTTTATCTGTAATTTTGCTACTGTTATGAATCATCGTGCAAACATCTGATACGCAGGATGTACTTTCATTGTTTCAAATTGAACATAATTAAAGCATTGTGATTCGTCACAAAGAAATATGTCATTATATATTGTGAAATATTTATTTCTAATAACAAATAAATGAAATTTTGCCTTGAAGCATGCTGTAGCATGGGTAACAGTTCTCGTATGTGGGCATATCTGCATGTGGGCGGACCGCCTGGAGACAGATAGAAGAGCCGTGTCCCAGTTCCTAAGACCTAAATATGTGTTTTCTGCTGGTCTTAAGCGACACCTGTGAAAGGTTGAGAACCGCTGCCTTAAGGCCTTTGTCTTAGCTCCTGGGAGATCGTCTCCCAAACCTTGAAATTTACCTAGTAAATGGCATCTTTGTTAGCCTCTTAGGGCTCCAGACCACACCTGATGTTATGGATTGGACTCCACCTCCCCCCCCCCCAAATATCTGTAAGAATCAGAAGTGTAAGATATGACAAAATAATAATTTATAAATTATCAAGGGTTCATGAGGGAGGGGAGCAGGGGAACGGGGAGGGAGGGGGGGAATGAGGGGGGAAATAAGCCAGGAGCTTAAATGGAGAGCAAATGTTTTGAGAGTGATGAGGGCAATGAATGTACAAATGTGCTTTACACAATTGATGTATGTATGGATTGTGATAAGAGTTGTATGAGCCCCTAATAAAATGATTTAAAGAAACAAAAGAATCCTAACTGCTAGTCCTGCCATCTCATCTCTCTTGGGAATGGATTGTCTTTTTCCATCACTGAGGCAAGATGAGGGTGAGGCATGTCTTGAATCGATCTCTTTTGAGATATCAACAAGGGAGCAGAGGAGACTGGGGGGAGATCGATGCCAAACCATATTGAGATCCCCAAAGAACCCAGGAATCCCCGAGCTCACAACTGGAAGCCTTAGGGGACAGGTGGAAATTTGCAGCCAGCAGGTTAGAAGTGAGGTGGCATGGGGGCTCTCAAATAGGTGGCCTGGGCCTGAAGTCTTGAGCAGAGGTGGCGGTCTCGAGGCCCTGCTAGTTCTGCCCTGCTCTGGTAGGTAGGGTCAGAGGGAAAAGTCCTTTCTTTGCAATGGGTACCAATGTGGATCTCTTCAGTTGGCCAAGTCGCTCTCTTCCCAGTTTCCTGGCATAGACGAGTGAGTACTTCCAGTGTTCATCAGCCTGTTGAGATGTTCAGTTGCTCTTCCCTCAACTTCTAAAGCCTTGTTTTTGGCTGATACATTCAGTGCAGCTTGAGTGTCTTCCTTCACAACCATGGATCCTTGGGCCTCTGCTGTCTCTTGAAAGAGTTGAGTGTCGGCCAGCTCTTTTTGGTACAGTGTCTTTGTATTCTTTCCATCGTCTTTCGATCCTTCTGCATCACCCAATATTTGCCCATAGAATCTTTCAATGTTGCAACTCGAGGCTTGAGTTCTTTCAGTTTAAGCATGTTGGGCGTGTTCTTCTTTTGCATATTTCATTATAATATTTTCCTTTGTCTTCTCAAGCTGTCCTTAGAAATTTTCTCTTCAGCTCTTCGATGTCACCATTTCTTCCATTTACCTTAGTTACGCTACAACTAAGAGCATTCGGCGTCAGAATCTCTCCTAACATCATCTAGAGCTTTTCTTTGTGTCCTTTTAAATGGCCTTTTGCTTCCTTCATGTCGGAGATTCTTGATGCCATTCCACAGCCGTTTAGGTCCTTTTGCTTTTCATGTTACAAAATATGAAAGCTGTGCTTCAGATGTTCTTGAAAGTCAATGGGGAGAGACTCACGGTCATATTTTGGCTCTCCTGGACTTGTTCTGATTATACTCCGTTTGCACCTGAACTTCCCTGTGAGCAGTTGGTGGTCTGCTCTGCGGTCAGCCGCTGGCTTCACTTTCAGCTGCTGGTATTGAGCTTCCCATCATCTCCCCCGCAGATTTGATTTCTGTGTATTCCGTCTGGAGAAGTCCACATGTTTGCTATCTCTTGTGCTTTTGAAAAAAGGATATTTGTGAAGAAGTCATTTGTCTTGCAAAATTTTATCATCTGACCTCCACGTTTGTTTCTGTAACCAAAACTATCTTTTCTAACTGCTGTTCCTGGCTCTACCAGGATAGGGAGTTTTTTTTAGATGTGTGCTAGGATGTAAGTCCTGAATGAAGCCAGCACTGTGACATAGTGTTGGCAAGGGGATTTTTCAAGGCTTACTCTGGCTGTTGTACTGGGAATGGAGGAAGAAGCATTCTAGTCCAGTGCCACTGAGTCTATTCTGATTCTTAGTGACCCTCTAGGGCAGGGTAGAACTGCTCCTTGGGGTTTCCAGACTGGAAATCATTATGGGAGCAGGCAGTTTTATCTTCTTCCTGTGGAGTAGCTGTTAGGTTTGAATGGCCAGCCATGTGGTTAGGAATCCAACCCTTAACCCCCTGTGCCAGCAGGGCTTCTTAGTGATCCATTAGCAAGAGGAGAAGTGGAGGACTATTAGGAGGTATGGGGAAGGTGGTGGTATAGAGCAGTGAGATAGATGGTAGAGAAGGGGGAGAGGGTAGACTTGGGACTTGCAGAGCTATGGTTGACGGGACTTGCTGATGAGTGGAGGTGGGGCACAAAGAAAAGAGAAGTCTTGAAGCCAAGTGCTGTTTTGTGGTGAGCGACCAGATGGACATGGATGGTGGTATCATCTACTTAGCTAAGGAAAAGCAGTATAAGGATTGGGCGGGGAGTGGAATCAAGGATCTCTTTTGGCTGCATTAGAATCCCCACATGGATTAAGTCTCCATTGAATCCCCTCTGACCATTGACCAGGGATGTGAGTAGCCTTAGGTTAAAATTTAACACCTTATCATTTGTTCTCCCTTTTGACCCATTTTAAGTGTGTTCTAGTTTTAATACTTTCTGCTTAATCCAAAACCCTTTTGGATTAAGGGTTTTCTGTGGTTTTGGTTTTTTAAAAAATATTTTGTTGTTGTGTTTTTAAAATGTGTGTACGGTTTCCTTTACATGAAATCCAGAATAGGTAAATCTACAGAGACAGGAACTGGATTAGCAGCTTTTTAGGGTTATGGCAGGGGAAATGGAGGCTAATAATAATGAGTTCAAGAATGAAAAAAAATGTTCTAGAATTGTTTGTGGGATGATTGCACAACTCTTTGTAATATGGCCAAACCATTGGGTTGTATGGTATGTGAATTGTGTTTCAACAAAACTGTCGATTTTTAAAAAGAAGAGTGAGTTTCTTTGGGGCCAATACCACTCAGGCTACCTGAGTACAGACCTATCCATCTTCCGGGTAAGATTGTCCTGAGTTCTGTCTATGAACTAAGCAAGCCTGATATATCAAACACTCCCTTACACAGGCACACAAGTCAGAACTATTTGTATAAGTTCTCCTGAATAGTGACGTGAGCCCAAGTATAACAAGGCGTGGCACAGCACAAAACGGGTTTCTCAGAGCGCTCCGCATCACCTTGCGTGGACAGGACTGTGCCCTCCTTCTGCCCTTCATGGGCTTTGGCAGCCAAGGAAGCTGGCCCTGTAGCTGTGTGACTCCTTCAGTTTGGCTGCCTGTTTGCTGTATGTATCATGTGTACAGTGAACCCTCGTTTATCGCGGTTAATCGGTTCTAGA